AAGAAAAAACCGCCGTTGTTTTTAAAAAGACGACGGTAACAAAAAACCGTCGTGGATAAGTGACTTAAACAACTAAAAACCGAAGGTACTGTTGAATATTTTTTTATAACGACGCACACAAATAAAAAAGCGTCGTCTTATGAAAAAGGTTTTCTTCAGAGTTAAAATCTGACCAAAAAACAACGACGGCAGGTATGACAAGCGTCGTCTTTTAAAAATCAAGTGTCATTTTTTTGGTAAAGACGTGGTTGTTTTGATAAAAACCGTCGTCTATTATATGTAAAGATGACGATTTTTATACAAACCGTCGTCTATTATATGTAAAGATGACGCTTTTTATAAAACCCGTTGTCTATAGTATGTAAAGATGACGTTTTTTTTATAAAAACCGTCGTCTATTGTATGTAAAGTCGTCTATTGTATGTAAAGATGACTCTTTTCATAAGTCGTCATCTATTGTATGTAAAGATGACGTTTTTTATAATAATAAAAAAGTTGTCTATTATATGTAAAGATGACGCTTTTTATAAATAAATAAAAAATAAAAAAAAAAGGTCGTCTATTGTATGTAAAGATGACCTTTTTAAAAATATCGTCGTCTATTGTATGTAAAGATTACGCTTTTTATAAAACCGTCGTCTACGGTATGTACAGATCACGCTTTCTATAAAAAACCGTCGTCTATTGTATGTAAAGATGACGCTTTTTATAAAAACTGTCGTCTATTGTATGTAAAGATGACGCTTTTTTAAAAAAAACCGTCGTCTATTGTATGTAAAGATGACGCTTTTTATAAAACAAACCGTCGTCTATTGTAAGCAAAGATGACGCTTTTTATAAAAAAAAACCGTCGTCTATTATATGTAAAGATGACGTTTTTTATAAAAAAAACCGTCGTCTAACAATTAAGAGTTTGTCTATACTTTCGTTAAATATAACATAAGATTTTGTGGTATCCACTAGTGTAAATATTTTAAATTGAAGAAAAAATTCAGTCATTGTATTCATATAGGGTCAAGGAGTGTAGCTGTAAAAAATCATCAAAATCAGAGTTAAAATAACCTTTAATTCATGATTTTTCATTTATAACCATTGAAATTTTTTGTCTCGTTACTTGATCTCTGAATGTTTATTTTTTCCGATTTTTGGCGTATATGATCTCGAAGTATAAACAAACAAGTTTGATGGTTGGATCATTGAAACTAGTTTCTTAGAATGCGTATGCCATCAAAACAATATATTCACTAACAATTAAGAGTTTATTTAATTTATACTTTCGTTAAATATAATATAAGATTTTGTGGTATTCACTAGTGTAAATATTTTAAATTGAAGATCAAATTCAATCATTGTATTCATATAGGGTCAAGGAGTGTAGCGGTAAAAAACCATCAAAATCGGAGTTAAAATAACCGTTAAATCATGATTTTTCATTGAAACCGTCGATATTTTTTGTCTCGTTACTTGATCTCTGAATGTTTATTTTTTCCAATTTTTGGCGTATATGATCTCGAAGTATAAACAAACAAGTTTGATGGTCGGATCGTTGAAACTAGCTTCTTAAAATGCGTATGCCATAAAAAAAAAATTCACTAACAATTAAAAGTTTATTTATACTTTGTTAAATATAACATAAGTGTAAATATTTTAAATTGAAGATCAAATTCAGTCATTGTATTCATATAGGGTCAAGGAGTGTAGC